AGCTGCATAAAATGTTACCTTTAGAAAAGGTAAGAATTTCTCTCAATGTGTTGACTGAGAAGTCATAAGAATATAAGCCAATGAACAAACTCTGAGACAGAGAGGGAGAAATGAGTGCCACACCTGGGGTGGAGGAAAGGGAAAAGATGAACCAACCAAGGTACTTGCACCTCATAACCCAGTTGGTAGCCAAAGCCAGCAATTCATGAAGTTTCTAATAGGGTGTCCCCAGACCCCCCAGAGACCTCAAGTGACCCCTGGTCCATTTCAAACAGGAGATCACCAGCCCGCATGCTATCCTTTAGACTAGCCATGGGCAAACTACGGCCTGCGGTCCAAATCCGGCCCATTTGAAATGAATAAAACTATTGAAAAAAAAGACCGTACCCTTTTATGTATGATGTTTACTTTGAATTTATATTAGTTCACACAAACACTCCATCCATGCTTTTGTTCTGGCCCTCCGGTCCAGTTTAAGAACCCATTGTGGCCCTCGAGTCAAAAAGTTTGCCCACCCCTGCTTTAGACTCTCAGTACCAGGGAAGACAGAGAAGGTGCATGTCAGAGGCAGATGGCTAATGGCTGAGAGACCCAGTTCAGCCTCTACTGATGCTGAGGAACCAACAGCCTCCAGTTTTTCCTTTCCTCGGCATATGCAGAGCAGTGGCAAAGCTTAAAGTCAGGTTTGAAGTATCTCAAAAGGTCCAAGAATAGCTGACCATTTGTCCACCCTGCAGTCAATGCTGAGGGGGTTATGGAGAATATGACAGGCTCCCTGTCCTCCAGGAAAATAAGACAGATACAGAGACAGACACCGCCTCGTTATTCAATGAGTCAAGAGATGTAGGAGAAAAGCAAGAGGGTGACGTGTCCAGAGAAGATAAAATCTATCCTGGAGGCCACAAACATGACCTGACAGACCATCTTCAGGTGGCCTCACTAATTTCCAGTTGTTCTATCAAGGAAATCTTTACCTAGGAGCATTTCTAGCTGACAAAAGAGTGTTCCAGTACTGTTTTTGCAAGTTTGTTTCCTTCTTAAAGAATAATTCCTTCCTTCCTGGGGGCTATCCTTCTTCCCCACTCCTCACCTGTCCTGCCTCCTTCAATTGGCCCAGGATGTGCTCATCCAACTCCTTTCCTGGAATTTTGCAAATTAAGCCTTAGGGAGAAGGATATACTTTCTGTGGTGATAAGGTCCTAGGGTAAGAGGGTGGGGAGAACTAAAGGACTTATCCGCAGAGAGAGATCAAAGTTAACACACAGAGAAGCACGGAAAATAGAAAGGTGAAGTCCTGATAGCTCTGAGGCCCAGACCCGAGTGCCTCTGGGGCCTAGCACCACCACTCCTATTCGTCACTATGTGAAATGCCACAGCATCTTCCCAATCAAGTCTTCTTGCTGAAAGTAGTTTGGTTTCTATAACTTACAATCAAGAGGACCGAGTAGCAGCCCACATTAGTGTGACTTCTTGAAATTTTCATCCTTACCTTGAACTTGCATTTCTCCTCTCAGCCTCCCCCTTTCTTTTTTTAAAAAATGTATTTTTATTTTTTAATATATTTTTATTGATTTCAGAAAGGAAGAGAGAAGGAGAGAGAGATAGAAACATCAAAGATGAAAGAAAATCACTGATTGGCTGGCACACCTCCTATCAGAGATCGAGGCCACAACCCAGGCATGTGCCCTCAACTGAAATTGAACCTGGGACCCTTCAATCCACAAGCTGACACTCTATCCACTGAGCCAAATCAGTTATGGCATCAATTTATTTTTTTATAATCTGAAATTCTCCTTTCTCATTCATTTTTGGCCACATCCTTGAATTATCTGGCTGGGCAATGTAATGTTGAAAGAATTTGAGATTTAGTAGCCTTGTATTACCACATTCATATGAATGCTGTCTTCCCATCTTCCCCTAAAACAAGGCCGGCTTGCCCTGAAACAATGCCTCTATCATTCTCATTGCACTTGCATCCTACAACACAATTCACTTTTTATTGTCTGTACTACCAGTGCCTACAAGGTACCTGGCATTCAGAAAGTGAATGGATGAATGAAAGAATTAACTAATTAATGGTGTCTCTAGTACAGGTACATTTGGAGCAATTTTAGTGGCTTCTCTCTATAGAGAGATGAGGTCTAGTGATGTACTCCTGGATAGTCCCTCCAGACATTTCAACAGAACTGCAGAGCCCCTGAAACACTATCAAACACTATTTGAACACCTACTTTTAAAATTTGGTCTACATTTATAAAATTCAAGTGATCTTTTATTCTGGGTGTGCACTCGGGGGAAGAAGGCGCTGCCCTTGGCATTGCTTAGCCACGCTTCCCGCTGCCGCCAGGGCCTCTCCCTCGCCGGCCACTGGGCCTTCTGGAACCGTCTCTCGTGCCCGGAGATGTCTTTAAACCCAAGGCCGTCCACCAGGTTCAGAAAGGAGAGTGGGTCCCTTTCTTTCTGAAAAGGATGCTTGTGAGTGAGGAGAGGGATAAAAACAAGAATAACCAATTTTGATCATTTGTGCTGGGGAGACAAATCTTTTTTTAAAAAATATTTTCATTGATTTCAGAGGTAGAGAGAGAGAGATAGAAACATCCATAATGAGAGAGAATTATTGATCAGCTGCTTCCTGCACACCCCACATTGGGGATTGAGCCTGCAACCAGAACATTTGCCCAGACTAGGAATCGAACCATGACCTTATGGATTATAGGTCGAAGCTAGACCACTGAGCCACGCTGGCCGGGCTCAGCCTCCCTCTTTCCAGGAAGAGTCAGACCAGCCTCAATGTTGCCAGTTTCTCCTTGTTCTGTCTAGTCATACTTTGAAAATTGGGCCCACATTCTTGCCTCCCCATCAGCTGCACCTCTAGTTACTCCATATGTAAGTTTCCCAAAACCAGCTTAAATTTCAAAGTTAAAAAGCTGCCTACCAAGGGACCTCACCAGAGAATCCAACTGATTGGGTCAAGGGTGGGGCCTCGGAATCTACAGTTTTAAAAACAACACCTGGTGGATTCTGTTGGGCAGTCAGGTGGACGCATCACTTGACCAGAGGCCCCATGACAACCCATCACTTGAGGAGCACATCAGTAACCTAGACATGGCGCAAATTAACTGTTTGGTCTTTCCACAAGCTTTGAGTACTAATCAGAAAGCAGAATGTGTGGCTGCTTGGAAGTATGTCATGGAAGTTCCAAGCTGCTCAGAGAACTCTCCTGAGGCGTTTGAAATGACTTCATCGCCAAGGTGGCAGGAGTTTCAGGGGCAGCCTGGCCCCTTACACAAGCTGCCATTGATTGAACTTCATACTGGAGACCGATGAAGTCCAGGGAATTTATTTCTTTTCAAGGTCTAGCATTACATCACCAGTCTGTGTAACTTTTCTTATAAAGTGTCTTTTCAATGTGGGTACCCTCAAAAGAGTTGGGCATAACTAACCCAGTGGCAGCAGCAAAGTTGAATCAGGGGAGCAATTTTTTTTTTTAATCCAACAAGTAATGTCACCTTTGGAGCAGTTAAAGTTCTCTCCTTGCCTGGCCAGTGGGGCTCAGTGGCTGAGCATTGACCTATGAACTAGGAGGTCATGGTAGATTCCAGTCAGGGCACATGCCTGGGTTTCGGGCTGGATTCCCAGGAGCGGGTGTGCAGGAGGCAGCCAATCAATGATTCTTTCTCTTCATTGATGTTTCTCTCTCTCTCCCTCTCCCTCTCTCTCTCTCTCTCTGAAATCAATAAAAGTATATTTTATTTATTTAAATATATTTTTATTGATTTCAGAGAGGAAGGGAGAGGGAGAGAGAGAAACATCAATGATGAGAGTGAATAATTGATTAGCTGCCTCCTGCATGCCCCCCTCTCCACTGGGGATCCAGCCGGAAACCCAGGCACTTGCACTTGACCAAACTCGAACCCGGGACCCTTCAGTCCACAGGCTGACGCTCCATCCACTGAGCCAAACCAGCTAAGACAAAGTATATATTTTTTTAAAAGTGCTGTCCTTCTCATGAGACATGACCAGTGTTCAGAGCAGCCACATTCTGAAAGTGGATGCCAGGTGGAAGAGAGATTTGTTTCCCTAAATAAAGCAAACACCTTCCACATTCCTTCCTTGATTGTTGGGGTTGACAGTGGCTGAGCTGAACCTGGCTATAAACTCTCAAAGCCTCTTGCATTTTGAGATGGGCTGTTGGGCATCAGCCGTGATCCAACAGGTGTTTCAAGGTTTTTATCGACCAGGCAGAACGCTTGTATTTATCTCAAGCTCTTATGTTTTATTTTATTATGTCTTGCTTCTATTCCTATAAAAACTGCGGAATTGAAGGTTTGGGAATCAGCGGGGCTTGGAATGAGTAGTCAAATGAACTTTGCCATTTGGCCAATAGCATCCCCTATCCAATCATTGCTGACTTACTTTATTTTCTTTTTCTGGGGTTTCCCCCTTTTTGTCTTTCTTCTCTTCCTCTTTTCTTCCCTTTCTCCCTCCCCCTCTCCCACAACACATTCAGAGAGTGCCCTAAACGGTGACAGGCTTGCTCATGCTTCCCTTATGACTAAGTCGCTGGGCCTCTGGCCAAGCCCCCACAGATGGCCCCAAACTTCAGGCACCCCTTTAGGAGAGCCCCACGTTTGCAGCCCAGCCTGGGCCGCCAGGGCAGAGATGTGGGCTGGGGAGTGGCGGTGTCTTAGTCCGGAGGGAAGGCAAAGCAGCTTCCAGGAGGAAACGGGCGTTTCCTTCCCACGCGCTCGCTCAGTGAGCCCTGCCTGGGTCCCGGCCTGGGGACTCCACCCAAGCCCCTCCCGGCGCTCTGGGACAGGCCGGTCGCCACACACAGGCACTTGCAGGCCCTGGTGCCGCGCCCTAAGGAGAGCAGCACCCAAGGCCAATTGCCATGGCAACCCCGGAGTTCATTCCATTCCCCACCCAGCCGATCCCCCTCCTCCCTGCGCTGCAGCCAACCGGCTTGTGCGCGTCCGGGGAGCGCACTATAAAACCTGCCGGTGGCGCTGGGGAAGGAAGGCGATCTCGGGACCTGGAGGGAAGTGAGCAGCGCCAATCCACAGCGTGGAAAGCCTCGTTTTGCAAACGCGGGAGGGAAAAGCCTGAGCATGCAGAGTGTGCAAAGCATGAGCCTCAGTCTGCCCACGCAGTGCCTCTGCCTGGCTTTCCTGCTCCTCCATCTCTTGGGACAGGTGAGTGGCGCGCCCTTTAGGTGTCCCGGTTACTTTGCCTTCCTGGGCGGCCCCTGCTGGGTCACTCTGCCTTACTGATCCTGCGGAGAGGTTTCTCCTTCTTTTCTCGCCGGCCCCCAGGTGGCTACGACTCAACGCTGCCCAAACCCGTGCCCGGCCCGGTGC